ATGGAGACGGGGACAGGGATGGGGATGAGGATGGTGATGGGGGTGTGGATAGGGAGAAGGATGAGGATGGGGACAGGGATGGGGCAGGGAATGCGGTCACGCCGCCGCCACCGTCATTGCAGGTTGCAAAGGCCGGAGAGGGTGGGAACACCGGTTTTGGAGATGGTGAGGCTGGGGGAGATGTGCGGGGATGCCCTCTGAACCTCCCACCCTCGGGCTGGGGCATCCCGGGCACGGTGCTCCCCCCACGGGATCTGCCGGCTCCTGTGGCTCTCCTGAGCTGACACCCCCCCGCCGCATCGAGGGAGGGATGTTGGGAATGTCACCCTGCCGTGGGACAGGCTCCTGCGGCGGGCAGGGGTGAAGAGGAACGGGGGCTGTGCTCCTGGAGCTGCAGGAATGTCTCTTGGCCCTCCTGACCATGTCAGTGTCCCCCGCTCTGGCACTGTCCCCCCCTCCCTGCTGCCCCAGCAGGAAAGCACTGAATCACTGTCTGACAGCATCACACTCTCTACCCCGGCTGTGTCCCCCAGCCCAGCAGGGCCCCCCATCCCTGCCCCTCTGGTGGTGTCCCCCCATATGACAGTGTCCCTCCCGTCCTGATTCCCTGACAGTGTCCCCCATCCCGACCTTTTGGCAATGTCCCCCGTTTGGGAGTGTCCCCTCTCTCCCTGTACTCCTCCCTAGTGATGCAGAGTGTCCCCCATTCTGGATGTGTCCCTGATCTGTGATCTGCTGGCAGTGTCCCCATCTCACTGGGTCTCCCCTTCCCTGAACCCCTGGCAGTGTCCCCTTCCCCCTGATACTCTGCAGTATGACAGTGTCCTGCCAGTCCTGAGCCCCTGGCACTGTCCCCCACTCTGGATGTGCCCTCCATCCATGACCTTTTCCAGCAGTATCCCCATCTCATGGTGTCTCCCCCTTTCCTGATCCCTTAGTAGTGTCCCTTTCAGTGTGACACTCCCTACCCCTGGCTGTGTCCCCCAGTATGACAATTTCCCCCAGCCCTGATCCACTGGCAGTGTCCTCCAGTCTGGCAGTGCCCTCTATCCATGACCCACTGGCAGTGTCCCCCAGTTTGTCCAAGTCTCCCCCCTCCTTGGCAATGTCTTCCAGCCTGGAAATCCTCCCCTGCTCCCACGTCTGCCAGTGTCCCCTGACCCCCACTGGCAGTGTCCCCCACTCTGGAGGCATCCCCCAGCCCTGACACCCTGGCTGTGTCTCCCCATCTGTCCAGGTTACCACAGTGATCTGCCATGAGTGCCTCCCACTCTGGCAGTGCCAACTCCCTCATTGCAGTGTTCCTTTACCCCGACCTCCTGGCAGTGTCCCTCACACCCACATTGTCCCCCACACCCATAGTGTCACTATAATCTGCATGCTGCTCTTTGCCAGAGCCACACCAGGTCTGTCACCAGTCCTGTCACCATCTATGGCAGCCATGGCACATGGGACATGACAAATGCACCCAGTGTTAGCCCACCTTCCAGGTCGGACACCCACAGGTGCCCCATCATGCCACCCTACCACCCAGGGACAGTGTCCCACCATGATGTGCGTTCCCTGCCCAGGACTGAGCCACTCAGCACTGGGGAAGGAGCTCCCTGCAGTGTCCCCAGGTCCCAGCTGCAGGTCAGATGTCACTTTTGATGTGACATCCCAAGCTGGCCTCACCCACTGGGAGCTGCGTCCTGATCCAGGCTGCAACCCAACCCCAACCACGGCATCAGGTTTCAGCCCACTGTGCTGGGCAGAGAAG